TGATGTCCCTAATTGTCTAATTAATAACCACTTAAGTGACATATTCCTCCATCATTGCTATTAACCTAGCTGCAGACAGGGCTGTCACCATATGGCATGCAGGGCAACTAAAATCATGTGGCCACTTCCCTGATGTTCACAGTCTCTTAAAGAAAGGCACTCAGTGCCAATAGGGGACTCAACTCAATCACGAAGTGGCAGCCTGCTGAGAGCAATGTCCCTGCCCTTGCTGGTAAACCTTCCAACGTTCCTCTCCCAATAGTTCCCCACCAAACCAATCACTTCCATATTACATAACTGTGACCTGGGTGGCACTGCAATCCTGAGACTCCAGTGCCGGTCCTTGTGGCAGCAGCCACATCTCCACAGTGCCAATGTTAATCAAAAGTGCTGCAGTCTGTGATTGTAAAGGGGCATCAGTTGGCAAGGTTTGCTTCCCCCAGGGTCTTGATTTCCATAGGAAATACAGTCACTGGCCTTTCAGCTACCTGATTGAACCACAAGCCAATACAACCTCCTGAAAAGAAACATTATGGGTCTTTTGCTGGCTGTTCAGTCAGCATACATGACCTTTGACACGTCAACAAGATTTTACCCTGCATGTGGAAACAACTCCTTTATATTAGAGCAATGAAAATATCCTTCCCTATTGCCACTTCTTTGAAGTAAGAAAGAGACTTGAGAAAGGTACTGCTGTAGAAGTTTTTTGTAAGGACTTTCAAAGGGCATTTGATGAAGTACCTCATACCAAACTTATTTAGAAAATAGAAAACATAAGTACAGGATTGTAACAAAATGGCAGTAAGGCAAGTACAGTATGTAATTAGTTACAAGATTTTTCTGGCAGGAGCTAAGTATGCAGTGACATCTCCCAGGGATCAGGTTTAAGACCATTGACTGATTTTATTACATATAATTGTACTATCTTTACAAACCAAGAACAATGTTAAAGCTTAGTTACATTGTAAATAACAACAAACAGGACAGTAGCAGATTTCAGGATGATTTGTACATTGTTGAAATGGATGGACACATTGCAGAGGCTATTTAATGCAGATAAGTGTAACATATCTTGGGAAAAGCCAGAGTGGGAAGGAGAAGAAATAATTTTGTGCAGGAGGTTAATGGGATTTGGAATGCCCTACCTGAAAGATTGGATTAGAACTTTCATAAGGCGATTGGAGCTGTAGTTGAAGGAAGTTAATTTACAGCGTATGAAACAAAGTAAGATGAGACACTAAGTTGAAACCAGCACAGGAATGATAGATGATAAGCTGTCTTATGTGCTGCAGGATGCTCTAAATAGATTACTTCCTTATTATAATTTGTGTAGCTCATTTCAAAATATTAAAAACTGCACGCAAATAACAAACACTGATATTCACATAATAAATTCAAATCAGTCACAAATATCATTCACAAGTTACATAAGTGTATTAGCTAACAAAAACTATATTGACCTCAATGGAAGAAGAAATTGATTAGCACGTAAGACAAGCCACTGATGCATTATCACCTGTTTGAGCAATTCAAGAAGAGGAATTTCACTTCATAGTCTTTAATACAATTTAAATGCTCAGATTGTACACTGGACTATTTCAGCAAGTTTACATTGTGAACAAAAACAAAGTTGTTGGAAAAGCTCAGCAGGTCTGGCAG